GGGGCCACTTGGGCGACTCTTCCGGCCTTCTGTAAAGCCACGAAGACCTGGCTGTTCCGGCAGGCCTCCTGGGGCTGTTGATTAGCATCCAGCCCCACTCCAACTGGATGCATGTTGTTGAAATTTTTAATACTTGTGTCCTTATTTTAAATTTTTCAACATATGTTTTGTCTTGCCTGTAAGCCGCCCAGAGTCCCAAGGGAGTGGGCGGCATACAAATGTTAATAAATCTAAATCTAAATCTAACCCACCCTGGCTGAAATCTCCCTCCCTCACCCATCTGCCCATTATTGTATCCTAACAATCCTTCGCCTGGACCAAGAGCCACGTGGCTTCCTCAAATGCTCTTTCCATTCTTCCCTCCTGCTCCTGAAACAAGTGAGGTGCCAGCTCTGCCATCTTCAGCATAACTCGCTTTGCTGGCATCCTGCCACAGAATTCAGGGGAGGAGGAGGGAAAAAGAGAGAATTTGCAGGGGAAGGGAGGGAGGGAATGAGAGGAGGACAGGAACCAGAGCTGTCAATCTGGGACGAACCAGCCGATCAAGGACGGACTGGGAGACCAGAACGCGAAATTCTACCAAACCTCAAAGCCGTCCCCACCTCAAATGAATACTATTGGAGACTAATGGACTAGTCAAGGGGGGGAGGTGGAGCCCAGGGAAGTGGGAAAAACACGGGTTTTGCACAGGAACATTCAGATCCAGCTCTGCTTATGCTGTGACTGCTTGAACTTAGCCCAAGGGAACCTTTCACTTCAACCATGGAGTCGAGGGTCTTTCTTTCCTAAGTGCCCAAGTCGGGGCAAGCCTGACAGGAGAACTCACAGATGCAGAGGACCCGCAGAAGGGAATCTTCCCTGATTCCGTGGAGATCAGACTCCTTGGAGTCTCGTAGGTCCAAAGGAAGGACTCGAAGGAGCTCTCAAAGTCAAATGCCCACCCAGGAAGCTAGCAGGTGTGGCAGTCGCCACCTGAGGCTTGTGCCAGGGTTCCAAGTAAGGAACCCCCCCCCCCCCCATGAAAGAAGACTCTGAGGCTAGCAGTTCCTCAGAGTTCCCTTTTATTAAAGAAGCCTTGTTGGCACATCTGAGAAAACCCGAATCTGAAAATTCCAGGTTCTCCCCACCCAAAAGAAAGTCAAAGAACCACCCCCTGCGCCCACAAGAACCATCACAGGGTCCAATCAACTCATGGTCCCAACTGAAGACAATCCCCAGTCACTCCCATATGGGTGCAGAACGGATGTCCTTGACTCCCAGAGAAAAGAACGTTGTTATGGCTACCTATCTCCACCAACCCCACGCAATCCCCCCTCCTCTTTTCCCAGGGGAGTCATTGTGGCAGCTCTGAAGCGCCAAGGAAAACATGGCTTCCGGGGCTGACCGCGTCTTCTCCTGCTCTCTGACAACCTTCCCGTCCCACCTGTGGGGGGATAGACTGCCCCTGGCTTGTGAAGCTCTAACCTCTCCCTCCCTCCCTCCCCTTTTTGTAAGGCTTTCCAGCACGAGGAGGGACCAGTTCTCACCTACAAGATGCAACCCCAGTTGGCTGGACTCCCAGAGTCGATGGAAGGTCCTTCCTGTCCACAGGGAGGGGGCTCTGCAGAGGGGACCTGAGTTTTCGAGCCCCTCCCTTCCGGCATTTTCCCAGATGAGGGAATAGGAGAGATGTGTACAAAATTAGCAGATGACAGAAAGTTTTTGGGGGGAGATTGCTGGCACCCCAAGATACAGGTTCAACCTTCACAGAGATTTTGATGGACTCGAACATTCTGTTCAGTCTAAATGCTGTTCAGCGACCAGAAATGCAAAGCTGAACTTTGGCAGATAAAACAGAGAGGCAGAGCTACAGGAATGATGACGCCTGGCTTAGTATCAGCTTCAGGGTTGACACGTAGCAACAGTCCAGAGATGGGTTGCTACCGGTTCGTACCAGTTTGGGGGAACTGAAAGTGGAAATTGTGACTGGGTCGCCGAATCGGTAGGAACGGCAGGGCTGCCCACGCCTCCGAACAGCCCCCTGGTCGCCATGGCGGTTTTTTACATTTTTAATGTTCTGCGCATGCACAGACCTATTTACAGGCAACTGCACACACACACGCATGCACCTCGCCAGCAGTAACGCAGGCAGCAACCCACCCCTGCAGTGGTCCTCATGGAAAGGATCTGGGCATTGATCTAATCTGAGTAGACGAAAGATTAAACACGGCCCAGCATTAGGTGAAAGGAAAACACCAGTTTCCTTTGGAATATTTAGGAACATCTGGGCAAGGAAACAAAAGCACAGAACAGGTGGTACCTGGCTCAAGAGTAGCACCTGGAGGGATCCAGTGGGAGTCCCACTGGACAATAACTCAAATACGAGCCAGCTGTGCGTGGCAGCTGCTAAAAAGACCAACACAATCCTAGGCTGCATTAAGAGAGGGATAGAATCAGAATCACTTGAAATGTTAGTATTAGGGTTTATTCCGCACTGGCAAGACCACAATTGGAATCCTGCATCCAGCTCTGATTACCACAATACAAAAAAGGTGTGGAGACCCTGGAAAGAGTGCAGAGAAGAGCAAGAAAGAGGATTAGGGGACTGGAGGCTGAAACGTACACAGAATGGTTGCAGGAACTGGGGACGGCCAGTCTCATGAAAAGAAGGACTGGAGGTGGCATGTCTTCCGGTATTTAAGAGGCTGCCCCGAAGACGAAGAGGTCGACCTGCTCTCCAAAGCACCCGGAGGCAGGACAAGACTCAACAGATGGAAACTAATCAAGGAGAGGAGCAACCTGGGGCTAAGGAGGAATGTTCTAATGGTGAGGACTATTAACCAGGGAAAGAGCTCGCCTCCAGGAGTTGTGGGGTCTTTATCACTGGAGGCTTTAAAGAAGAGAGAGCCCTTTGCCTGAAATGATCCAGGGCTTCCTGCTTGAGCAAGGGGTTGGACTACAAGACCTCCAAGCTCCCTTCCAACTTAGTTATTAGGCTCTTTTGTTATTCTGAATAGGATTGTTCAGCCAACTGCGATTCCATCTGTCAATGAGACAACCTTGTTCAGGTTCTTCAAGAAGAATGGACACTAAAAGTAACAAACCTAGCAGAGATGGCTAAAATATCTGCATATCTCAAGGACCACTCAAACGAGAGATATAAACT